CTTTACAAAATAGGTAGCGAAGCGAAGGAGAGGAGACCGGGTGGGCACAAAATGAATTTCTAATCCCTCATTGAGGTTAACAGCGAACCGTCTCGATCGCCAAGGGTGACTTGTTATTTGCAGCCCAGGCTTCTCGCCTCGGACATATGGCGACCCGACCTCGCCTTTCTCCTTTAAAAGGACAGTCCACGGGCGATGCCGCCACCTCCCAAACCCAAGGGCACGGTATCATCCGATAAGGCCCCCTTCCTTTGTCTGCCACCGGCCCCTTCCATCCCGCCCTGGAGCGACAGGGGGACATGGAAGACGTAAGACCAGCCTCCCCCCTCCTCTCCCATACTCTTCCTCTCTCCGCTTGCTTTTAACGTTCCCCCCCCCCCAATGAAGGGGAAATATTCCCGGGAGCTTAAATATTTTCGTTTGTGCCCGCACTCCTTTGGGAATCACCTCAGTACGGACTTTGAATTAAACACCGCCTGCCATCAAAACCTAGTGACATCTGATATGATTTATCGGTTCTCAGTCTACTTAAGTCCGGACACGACACCCCAAACCCTTCCAGGTGGAGCCAGGAATCAATGAAAGCTGGAAGATGACAGGGGCGCCTGTTTCCCAACGAGTCTTACAGTGGGGTCAATGTAGACGAGCTTACTCCGATGTAAATCCTTCAGGTTTATGGTGGGCCATAATAAGACCCCTTCGGGGGAAAAATAATAATTCTGGGTTTACTTTACAGGGTGAGATAAAATGCTTTTCTCTGCCCACCCCCATCCCCACCCACCCCCGTCTCAGGTATACGGATTAGGGAATCTTGTATCGAGTGTCCCTGTCGAGGGAGATGGTTCTTCACGTTCTGGGGTGGGGAGGCAGCGGATGACCAGGGAAGGCCGCCGAACGTTTGTCGAAAGGAAACCCACACGAACCACTCGCGTGTCCTGCGTCCTTTCCCAACAGTTGGTGGCAGCCTTAACCATCCTCAGAGGACTGAGATCAATAATATTTTAATTGGCCCCTTTAATTTCAGTGGAATAAACTACAAGGGATCGGGGCCTGATCCGACCCGAGAGGGAAGGGGTGCAGTTTTCCTGAGCAGACGAAAAGGACAGAGTTTTGGGGAGGGAAAGTAAAGGCCCCCAGGTTCCGCCGAGGCGTCTCTCCGTCTGTCTCTCTCTCTCTCTCTCTCTTATCAGAAGGTGAATCGGGCCCAGTTCCATTCCTTTGCGCCTCCCCCCTCCCCCCTTTCATACACGTGTGTTTACTTATAAATATGCCCAGCTATGAGAACCTGCGTAGAAGTGTCGGATCATGATGCCAGAGACTCGGGTTCAAACGCCTACTGGGTTGTGGAAGCAACCGAGCCTTCCAAAACCTGACATCCCACGGCCTTCAACCAGCTGACTGTCAAGGGCCCGTAGCTTTCCAGTCTTCGGGAATCGTTGACTTGGCAGAGGGACTTCTTTCCCCCTGTGTCTTGGGGGACGAATGCCTTTCTTTTTTCTTCCCGAATTAGAGGCACAACTTCCGTGCGTGAAAGGATCGTCTTTTACGCGGCTACTCCCGTTTTCCGGTCCTTTAAGACGTGTGCTGTAGACAATTCGGTTGACTTCTCGTACCGCCGAATGTCAGATTAAAGGCAACGTGGTTTCTCGTTTTAAAGGTGTGTGTGTTTAGTCGTTTAGTCGTGTCCGACTCTTCGTGACCCCATGGACCAGAGCACGCCAGGCCCTCCTGTCTTCTACTGCCTAAAGGTAGTTTCTTCAAATCGTCATTTAAATACCCGCCTTTGGCTGGATTCTTCTTCTCGTGTTTGTGTGGCGGAAGGAAAGGCGGACGTGTGTTTGTTTCTTTGCAAAGTATACATCCTTCTCACCCAAAACCCAGACGTGAAGGCTGCAATTCTAGGGGGCCTTTTCTTGGGGGATTGCTCTTAAGTATTGGATCTTCAAATTATCCCTTCTGTAAAGCTATGCACGCACTTTTATGCACGCAGTTAAAAGTGCACATTTCCCCCGAAACAAAAGAGATGCGATTCCAAAATCATGGTCCAAGCGCCGGGAGGGAATCCAAAAGCGGACCTGAGATGAAGCGGCGGCACCAACGACGCCCTTTTTCCAGGACCCGCCATGGTGTAGGGCAGGGTCCGGTCCGGTCTGGGTCTCTAGTCTCTCGTTGCAACCCCCGGTTAAGCGAGGGAAGGCGACGCCCGTTTTCGGCAGGATGCGGATGCCTTCGAAAGGTTTCTGGCAAAGCCGTTTTCTCTTCCCCGATTTGACCTTAAAACGAGGACAATCTCGCCCTCTTTTGTTTCCATTCGGAGCATTTATTTAATTGCGGGGCTCTCCCCACCGCCCCACCCGCCCCCGGGGTACGAAGCCTCTCAGGGGGCCCTGATCCCATTCCAAAGGAGGAAGGCCTCACTCGTGTAACTCTCTGGCCTCCTTTAGTACAAAGGAAGACAGGAACAGTTGCTGAAGGCTGCTTTGAAATAACTTTCTCTTCCATTTAAAAAGGGAAAAGAAGCAGGGCCAGGGGGCTTCCGGCGGTGCCCGGGGAGGGAATGGCAAGGCCAACCCAGCCATTTTCTTTGTGCGCTATAGATACAGTATCTGCTCATAGGAAGGATTGTTTTGGGGTCTGATGGAGGGAAAAGAGGTCCGTCTAGGGTTAAAATATGTAGGTGACCGATTGAATGTGATTTCCCGTCGATTAAATAGAGGCTCTCAAAACATGCGAGGAATGGAATCAGATTCCGGAGGATGAATTCACACGTGCATGGAGACATCACAGAATCAAGTTGCATCATGGCAAGTTGCATCATGGAGATATATTTATGCTAGGAGATATACAGTACTGTGCATGCACATACACACACTCACTCTCACACACTCACTCTCACACATTGACTCACACAAATAATCTATTTTTCTAACCACTGGCTATGCTGGGTAGGGCCCAGAGTCCAAGAGAGACTGGGACAGAGATGTGGAGAGAGAAGTCTCAGAGATGGACTCTGGCTCCGGTCCTGGGTCTGTTGTGCTTCTGTTGTCCTTTCTTTGTTTCTATTGCTTTGTTTGGGGGGGGGGGCAGAGTTCAGGCAGCAAATCTTCTTGGGTCAGATATTTTCAATGGTAGGAATAATCAGCCAACTAACAAACAAATCAGTGCAGAAGATGGTTTTTAAAGGGTTTCCTCAACATTTTTGAAAGAGGTGTTTTGAAAGACAACTGATTTCTGCAATGAGATAGCAGTGGATCTCTGGTGCACAAGGGTAAGGTGAGAAGTTTTCAGTGATGGCACTAATCTACTTAAAAAATAAAGAGACAGACAGACAGAAGGTCATTTTAAAAATATATGTATATGACAGACTGAATGTAATTTCCTATTGTTTAAGCCGAGGCTGTCAAATCACATGAGGAATGGAATTAGATTCCCGAGGATGAATTCATATGTGTGCGTGGAGAGAGGTCTATGAGGAGAGATGGGTGCTGGTGCCTGTAGGTGGGTGAACCAGATCTTGGTTGTCTGCTGAATATGGCCGATATGACACTCTATAGCCATACAGCAACACGGAACTGGTTCAACCATGCTTAATATTTATATTGTCATCACCCATTCTGATAGCTATAAAAAGAGAGAGCCTTAGATTAATTTTAGTGTCTTAGTATGGCTGGCCTATTCCAACTCCAGTGCGCTGTTTGTCGGTGTTGGTTGAATAGAGTTGCTGTTACTTTAGTTGGTTCTCGCTTAGATTATAAAATTTCTGCTGTAGTACTTGTTGAGAAACAGGATCATAAACAGCTGAAAGGGCAGAAAAAAGCTATCTCCTCTTGCCCAACACCACCAAAGGCAAACATGAATCACAAAAGTTGTAATATATTCTGGGGGAAGCACTTTCTTTTGTTCCTATGAAGGGCAACTGCCCTACAGGAAAAATCCATGAGGGGTGATGGCCAATGATGGGAGGACCCAGAGCAGAGATAGGAAAAGTCACTTGGGGGGGCAAGTCTCAAGTGTCAAGCTGGAGGTGGGGCTTCTGGGAGTTGTAGTTTGTTAAAGAAAGGTTTCTGGGGCTGTTCAGAGGCCAAATTAGAATTTTGATTTGTATCCCCCTGATTTTCTCTTTAAAGAAGAACACCCAAAGCACAGCTTGAAAAAATACCCAATATCTGGTAAGCTTTAACTCCTGACTCAGCTGGCACTCCATTTACTTTCGGGCAACAAAAACCATGAAAGGATAGGAAGAAGGTGAAGGAAATCCAGCATGGCAATATATGTGTGTGTGCGCACGCATGTATGCGTGTGTGAGATAGAAACATACCCAGAGGGGGCGATGCAGAATGGCATAGAATGTAATGAGGAAGAGTAAAAATTCTAATTTTACCTTGGCAGAAGGCAGTAGTGGCCTACTTCCCAGTGAGTTTATATTTCTAACACAGGCTGGACTAAAGTGAGAGGAATGGCAGGAATGAGGTGGGAATTTATACTCTTATTGGTTGGCTGTCAATATATTGCCATTTAGGTACTTTGATATATATTACTGTTTGTTGTTAAAAACCACAATCTACTTACAGATGTACTAGGACAGATTTATATTCAAGCTTTGATCATCAAATCAACTTTGTTTGGAGAAACAAAATACTTCAGCTTTTCCCTTGATCAGGAAGGAAATGTGCTCTTCCCTACATAGTTTGGTCAGGATGCCTCAGAACAAATAGTTTTGGGGATGTGCCTTGAGAGCCAGAGGTTGGGAGTTTGATTCCCCACTGTGTCTCCTTGACAGGGGCTGGACTTGATAATCCATAGAGTCTCTTCCAGCTGTGCAGTTATAAGAGGAATGTTATCTATCTGTCTTCTAATATGTTTATATGTAGCCATGATTGTGGAAGGTGAATAATTGAGAAGAGAGATGGAGGAATGATATGACTCAGTATGGGGGAACATTGTCTGTTGATTTGGGACATGGTTGGGCCTTTCTAACTACCTCACTTTTGGCTTTCCAGGCAGTGGGCAGATCCAGTTGTGGCAATTTCTGCTGGAGTTGCTTTCCGACCGGGCCAATCTGAACTGCATTGCCTGGGAAGGAACGAATGGCGAGTTCAAACTCCTGGATCCTGATGAGGTGGCACGGCGCTGGGGTGAGCGCAAGAGCAAGCCCAATATGAACTATGACAAGCTCAGCCGGGCACTGCGCTATTACTATGACAAGAACATCATGACCAAGGTGCACGGGAAACGCTATGCCTACAAGTTCGACTTCCAGGGCCTGGCCCAGGTCTGCCAGCCAGCAACCCCCGACCACACTCTCTACAAATTCCAGGCCCCATTGCCCTTCTCTGGTATTTCCAAACTCAACCTTATGGCCTCAGGTGTGACCCCAACTAGCTTCTCCTATTGGCCAGGTTCTACCCCTACCCTGTATCCCAGCCATGGCCTGCAACCTTCTGCACCCTTCAGTACCATGGCAACCTCCCACATCAACAATATGAACAGCCACTACCACTAGGGCTCTCTTAGCTGCGGATGGGATGGGAAAGGGAAAGGGTGGCCTTCAGATGAATACATTTCCTCATTAAGAGCCAGGAGATATTGTGTATAACAGGAGAAACATCTTTACTGAGATGGTCTGGCTTTCTGCAGTGGCATTGGATTATCCCTAAGGTCTCTTCTGTGCCGAGATCCTTTAGTGTTGGATACAAAGCCCATAATTTCATAGGGGACATTTCCCCTATTTTTTCCATTAAAAATCATTCTCAGTATAACTGGTATGATCTTGGAACTGTCTTGTACTTTCTGCCCCTTGGAACTCTTGCCATGCATAACAGCTAAGATCAGGATGGCCTCAACTAAACAAGACACAAACACCCATATATCTTGAGGGGTTAATCATGGAGGTGGGCTATACTGCATAGGGTGCCTGTCTGTCCATCTCATAGACTATATGAATAGCATCTTGGTCAGCGCCATTCTTTTCCTTGGGACCAGCTTGCTTCTTTAGTGGTCACGTACCTGCAGCATTTTGTTGCTGAGTTTTCCCTTGATTTGGTACAGGGGTAATCCCCTCCTCTTGGGAATCATAAAATGAAGAGGACCACGTAGCTACATAGCCAACCACATTTAGCTCTTTGATGGTGACAGCTGAGGGTAAGTGAGGGCAACTGAAATGAACAACTCAATGTTTTCATTAAGGGGGGGATTAAAAACACCAATATCCGACCACAACGTCATTTTTATTTTTACTGCTGCTGAACACGGGAACAAAGATCTACTAGTAAAGTAGCAGAATACTGCTCTACAGACAGTTCATTAATTTATAGGCTGGAGAGAAGTGGTGGTGGTGGGAGGATATTGCCGCAGAGAATCTTTTCTCTCCTTACTCTGAGCCTAGTGGGAAGGGCAGGGAGGGAAAAAAATCTGTGGGTCCATCCCCCAGGAGCCCCCCTACTCCTCCTTCCTGCTTTCCCACATTTGTTTTTTATCCAATTGACCTCAGCAGGATGAAAAGGAAGCATGAAAGGCTAGGCCCCTAAAAGATTTGGGGTCTCCTCCCATAGGACATAAAGGTTCATAAAAGTAGCATAGTCTTATAGACTGAAAAAATAGACTGGGGCCCATCGTTTGCTAGCTTCAAGGTTCCTTTTCATCGCTGAACCTCTGTGTGTGTGTGTGTGTGTGTGTGTGTGTGTGTGTGTGTGTGTGTGTGTGTGTGTGTGTGTGTGTGTGTGTGTGTGTGTGTGTACACAGAGTGGGGGGAAAACATATCAGAAGCCTCCCTGAAATCCACCTTGGCATCTCTGGACTGCTGTCTTTCTGCCCCGTCCACTCCTCTGCCACTGCTGTAAACCCTGAAATCCACCTTGGCATCTGTGGACTGCTGTCTTTCTGCCCCATCCACTCCTCTGCTACCGCTGTAAAGAAGCATCAGAGGGTGGACCTTCCTCTCTGCCCCTGGAAAAAGGAAATCCATGGTGTCTTCCTCTTCTCCCCAGTAATCTCTCCCATGGGCCATAGCCATGTATATTATTATTTATTTATTTAAACCATTGCTTTGTTGCATTTGTGCCCAGCAGGGCTCCCAGGCGGGTTTGCTATAGGTTAAAATGAAACGGAAGTAAAACATATAATGCCCTTTTCTCCAAGAACTCCAGGTCTTTTCCAGTGGCATCCAAAGCAAACCCCTGTTTTTAGAAGTGTGTATCTGTCTGTGAGGTTGCCTGATCTCAGAAGCCTCATGGAGGCCTCCCCCGGTGCTTCCCCCCCCCACGCCTGCTGAGCCACTTGCCTTCCTAACCACAAACCCTCAAGGCAGAAATCCTGCAGGGCTCTCTGTTTCCACAGGGAGACCACCTAGGCCTAAGCATTTCAAATCATAAAGTGTAACTTTAAAATTATATAGGAACTCAAAGCATTGGGTAGGGTAATAGAAATAGGATACTCCGTTAAATCTGGGCTTTGCCCACTAGAACTATAATACGTAGAGCCCAGTCCCATTGCCTTGGACCCACTCCAGCCAGAGAAGCTTTGACCAGACACATGTCAAAAGAGGTGTCGTCTCATCTAATCCCCGTTGCAGCAGCCTGAGAGTGAAACTGGGCCAGCCACCACGATAAACAGGCTGCCTTCACACACAGGACTGAAAGGGGATTTTGCTTTAAGATAACCTAAAAGTAAAGCTTGCCTTGGCCACCTGAAAGTCCTGTTTGCATTACAGGATGCCCCCCCCCCGCACACCAACTGCATTTTTCTTTCACATGCATGAAAGTCCTGTTTGCATTGCAGGATGCCACCCACCCACCCGCACACACCAACTGCATTTTTCTTTCACATGCAAAATAATTTCATGTGCCAGGTTGGAAGTGACGGAAGCCTGAAGTGTGAGCATATGGGCCTGTTAGCATGCAGGTCAACATGGCAAACCGGTGCAGCAGGGCTGGTTTTTGATGACATCCTGAAATGGAGACAGAAATCAAGAGAAGAGGATTCCTCCTGGAAAAAAATCACCCAAGTGGCTACTTCAGTTAGGAATCCAGGCTATTCTAGCCTAGTGGTTACCTTTCTGCCTCCGCCAGTTGTCGGTGGATCTTGTCCCTTTCCTTGATTTCATGACTTCCTTCCTTTTTTTTCCATCCTCAGGTTGATGGAAAATCAAATGTCTTTTCCTTAGATGCAAAAAAGGGGGGAGGGGGCTGTGCTGTTTCAGGTTTTGTTGTAATGTGTGTGTTGGGGGTCAGGAATGTTCAAAGACCCACTCTTGAATATATTCAAGAATAAATGGCAGAAACATAGCCCTGTACATCAATAACACTTGTTGTGATGGCTTTTTGGGGTCTGTGTGTTGTTTCTTTTTTTAAAAAAAACAGTGTCAGAGGTGATTTTGAGAAACAATCCCACACAATGTTGATCACAATTCCTTCCTGAACTGGCACTCCTGGAAGAAGAGAGAGCGCCCACTTGCCATGGGGATGTGGCATTGTCTGTAGCAGGCAAAAATGTGAAGCCCCATCTTTGAGAATCCCAGTGGGACAGGAAATCAGACATTCAAGTCATTTCATTCATCAGGGGTGTGGGTATGGGTCCCTTAAAGTCTGAGGAGTCTGTCTGTCTGCCAAACTCAGGGCAGGCACAGAATGGCAACTACAATTTTTGGGGGAGAGACTGGACGTGTCTCCTCAGAGGCCTGCCTTCTTCAAGTAGCTCCCTTGTTTTACTGCTCAGAGCAAGAGCAAAAGGGGACTGGAAATCCCACCTCTGACTTTCATCCTATTTACATCTTGCCTATTTAGGGAGGACAGGAGAATAGGCGGCCCAAAAGAGTGGTCAGGAGACTCCAGGGATTGCTGCTGGGGCCTCGGTAGGCTCCCTAGGATGCTGCCTTGCCGGAACCTAGGCCATCACAACGGGAAGCGCTTCCCTTGCCACACTGGTGGCTCATGACTCTTCCAGCCACTGATCTTAAGCACTCGTTTGTAGGCCAACTCTCTTCCCTCTTAGAGCGTCAGGGTCTGTCAATAGTTCCTGGCTCATGCTTGTGACTTGTGGAGTCCCAGTGAGGTCTCATTGCCCCACATTCCTGACAGCTCACCCCCTTGGTCCTAGGATGCAAAAAGAAGATGGTGTGTACCAATTGTGGAGTAAGGACATCCTTCCATGCAACTTGCACCTGCTGGAATGCGGCTGTTCCACCCAGCTGATAAAGGCACAGAAGCTTTATCCTCTTTTGCTTCTAGCCAACCTACTTCCATACATCTCTCAGTGAGTCTTTTTAAAATTCTTCTAGCTGGCAGGATGGGCTAGGGCTATGCTTGCCATGCAGCCACAGACACCTTCTCCCATTGCACCTCTTGACAGTCATTCAGATTCTTTGTACCTTGCTTAGATCTTATTTGCTTCTGTTTAGCTTCCATCTACTCATTGCTCCTGTGGATGGCCCTTCCCAGGCACACTGTCTTTCTACTGAAGTTCCCAAAGGTCTCTTCTCTTATTCTCCCTTCATGTGTCCTCTGATCCTGAACAGGCCACCTCTGAGCTTCACCTCTATGGCTTTCAGCAACAGAGATGGGAACTTGCCTACCTGCAGCTCTGAACAGGCCCTTCTTTCCTGGTAGCCATCAGAAGGTAATAGAGTAACTCATTGGCCTCAGTGATCAAAAGCAAAAATTAGGCTGCAAGCCCTATTGCCTCCTACTCTGTTTTCATCTGCACCTCAGCTGCACTGCGAATCTCATTTATTACATTTCTACTCCCTCTTTCTGCTACTGGGCACTGTTCATTACAAATTAATTAAGCTGACAAAAAAATAAACACAATAAATTAAACTGTATCATAAGCCAAATTTGTAAGATGTGACTTTGTACCCTTCCTAACAATGGCAACATTGGGAAACTGAGCACGACTCTGAAGGGAGGGCATCCCATAATCGGGTTGCCAGGCAGGAGAAAGCCCCCTTCCATGGGCCTGCTAGGCAAGCCTCTGCAGCTCTGGTTATTCTCTGAAGGGCCGCTTTTCAAAATCTTAACATCTGGTCAGATTCTTAACAAGGCAGGGGGTCCTTCAGATAGCCAGGTCCCAAGCTCCTTAGGAGTTTAAAGGTTAGCAACACAACTTTGACTTGGGCTCAAGGTTTTAGTTTTCTTTTCTTTTCCTTTTTCAGATTTTTCATTATCAGGGCCATCTGATCTCAGTAGCATCCACTAATTACTGTAGCAGCTTATCTGCTGGGTATTGCCCCTGTTGAAGGCCCTGGACCTTTTATGAAGGTAGCCCCACAGAGAGAATATTGCTGAACCATCTGCAAAATAGAGGACCATGGGGGTGTGTGGCAGGGGAGCAATGTGGATGGAAGGGTGCACCCTTCCCCAGTGTGGTAACTCCCCACATGTGTTGTGCTGTACATCATCTCAGGCAGTAGATCTAATCATGCTTAATGAAATGATGGACATTGTAGTCCAGCACATCAGAAGAAAATCACCAGGTGAAGGATGAAGAGGAGAAACACGAGGCAGTAAGAGATGAAGTGTCTTCTCTGCTGAATTGCTTTCTTTGTGTTGTGCTACTGGTTTCCTCGACATCATTTCCCTTTCTTTCTGGCATTAGCTGCCATTTCATGTAACACAAAGAAAAGTAGGATGGTACAGGTTTATTTCAATGTGAGATTTCATGGATGACAAACCATCCCCTCACATGACCAGAGTCCCATATTTGGCCTGCAGGTTTTTATGTACAGTTTATGGTTGTGGGGCCCAAATAAAATGGGGAACAGAAACAGTGACAATGGCACTATTAATACAGGTGATACCCTGTGTGGTGTAGTGGCTAGAGTGACAGACTAGGACTTGGAAGGCCTGGGTTTGAATGTCTGCTCAGCCAGGGAAGCTCACTGGGGATGTGGAACTAGCAAAACCATGCCTTGAATTCCTCACTTAACTTGAAAGCCCTATTAGGGTTGCTATAAGTCAATTCGAACTTTATGGCACATAACAGGAATAACCTTGTTGATTAAATAAACTTTCTTGCAAAAGGTAGAAGAATGAGCTAATGGAACTCACCTCTTAAATTGTTTATGAGATGTAAAAGATGAAGGAATAAATCCTAACAATATATCAGAGGGGGTGAGGGACAGAGATAGTTTATTTTACATATAAGAGGAAGGCAGAGACACACACACCCCTTTATTCACTATGCATGTACACTGCATTAAAAATGCCTTTTTAAGCCTCTGGTCATCTTTTCAGGTAACAGCTAGCTCTGAGTTGATTGCCAGTTTTTCTGTGACTGATGCACAACAGAACCAATTTGACCAAATCCAGCAGGGGGCAGTGATAACACACTGATTCATTTTGCTCCCCACCTATGAGACTTCTAAATTTTAATAATTTAACTGTGAGAAATCTCATTCCATATCACTGTATTAGCCTC